CAGGATCAGGGGAGAGGAGGGTGGGGATGCACAGGATCAGGGGAGAGGAGGGTGGGGATGTTCAGGATCAGGGGAGAGGAGGATGGGGATGCACAGGATTCATAGGACAGAAGTTAAAAGAATTTCCTGGGTGTCTCCATGTTGTGAAAATGAGTAGCAAGCATTCTGTGTAGAGAAGAATTTTGTCTTCAGCAGTTCTTTCCCAGATTTATGTTTTGTGACTAAGGAAACAACTTCTCAAAAAATCTGTAAGCATTTTCTTTTTAGAAATTGAAAATCATTATTAAATAAAGGATTATTTTATTATAATTCAGAATCTTCTAGAGTGTGCCTGGAATAATTTGTAATAAAACTGTATGTATGTATGTATGTATCTATGTATGCATCCTCTAAATTGCTCATTTGCCAAGATGAAATTTTAAATTTCACAATAAATCTCACAGATGTGTTTATTATTGCCTTTGCCCTCATCTTGTAAAATGTATCACAGTATTGTCTGAGACAATGTAAAAAAAATTAAAACTATATTTTGACTATTTTTCCAATATATATTTATGAAATAGTGATTCCATTGTCTATTTACTTTTATTTGTAGATGATGTTGGGCTCCAGCCCTACCCAGTTCTAGCCACTTCTTGGGGTTTTCTTTGAGAATACTAGTTTTGAGACTACTATAATTCTTTCCATGATTCTAGAACCATACCCATTTTGGATCAAGAAGATGATTTTCTTGTTCATTTTGCTCAATGTTCTTAATAGAAAAACAGAAAACAGTACCGATGGTGGGAACTGTGGCCCACTGGAAAGATAACTGGGAAGAAGTGGTCAGTTAGTTGTTTCAGTGAAATACATTCAAGACCAGACAAACCTTATTGATGATGTGAGAACAAGACAGAAGAGAGACAAGCATCTACAGCATCCTTCAGGGGCTCTCTCCATCTCCTGCTCTGATCTCACTGCCCAGGCTGCACAGGTGTGGAAATGTGGAAGGGCAGCTGCATACACGGCCTTCTGCAGTTCAGAGGAAAAGCTCTGTAGACAAACCAGAATTGTCCTTATTTGCAGTCTCTAGAATGGTTCTTTCTCCTGGATTTTGCCCCATTTTCTTTGGAGTTACTAATAGAGACATAATGTCTTCTTACTAATTTTGGCTTTATAAACATTTCAGAGTTTGGCTTTTCTGTTATTTGAAAAATATACTTTCATAACTAAATATAAGAGATTTGTGGATTGTTCACACTGAGCTGAATTTCAGATGGCTTGAAACAAGATAATTAACACAGTCTTACTGCCGTCCACTTCTTTCTCCCCAAGGGTCTGTCAAGGCCTCCTTTCTCTTTTATTTGCTAAAATAAAGTCTTTGGTGAGAGTTGACATGCTAATGAGCAGTGATGTATGCTAAACACAAAAAGGGCAAGGGTCACATAATTTCTTCAAAGCTCAAGTAAATTGGGCAATAAAGATTGTTGATAGGAACTACAGCGAATATTTAAATATTAAGTTTATTAAGTTTTGATTGAAACAATCAGAATAGAGTATAGAGTCATCATTTCAGCGGCAAGCTAAAGTAAGCTACTGACTGAGATGATATTGTATCTGGACTTGGCTGAATGATTACTGTAGATCTTATTAGTTCCTATGTTCTTAAAAAAACACAGGAGCAAAATTTCCATATCTAATAGCCATAGTGTGGGTACATAATGTTCTACCTAAATGGAGATTGCTGAATATAACAGTTAGACCCAGACACTGAGGCATCTGTGAGTACAACAGCTTCCCTAGGTCATTATGGGCACTTCCATAACTATGATAATAGAAGCATCGTAGATCAGACAGACACATAATTCAGGACTCTGAGCAGAGGCAAGTTGCAGGTTGGGGATACTTATCTCTATGTCCTGTGTATATAGTTTACATTCCTAGAGCTAAATCAGAAATTATGTAGCTACTTAATGACTCTCCCCTATGATATTAAAATACTGTGTTTGTCTTTAAGTAGATTTAATAGTGCATCTTGCCTCTCTTTAGAGACCTTTAGCTCCCTCCCTTTCCTTGCTCTCCTTTGTTTCTCTTCCCTCTCCAAGTCTCCGTCTCTCTCTCCATCCTCATCTATTTCCTCTCTTTGCAGTCTGCACTCACTTGATTTGG